AGCAATCCCCACACACACTCTAGCTTCTTCTGTGCCACAACCAGTACTGTACCTTATTCAGATGAAAGGTTATGAAAACCAATCTCACCACATCCAAACAGGTTCTTCCAATACCAAAGGACCAGCCACATTCTCAGGACAATTTATACCTCAGATCTTACCCAAAAGACCATGCTGGGCCAATCCTTTAGAATCTACAAAGAAAGAAAGAAAAGGTTGAGAACAGAATTGTGAAAGAAAGCACATTACATACGCCAATCACAACGTAGTCCTGAGGCAGGCTCTTAGCAGAGATGGAATAAACTGCTATCTTAAAAGTCTATGGAGAACATCCTAGGTTAGGATGGGTCAGCAACCCTTCCAGGCCCAATTCAAAGCAAAGATGTTTCTGAAGTGAAGAGCTGGAGTGAAGACAAATGGAGGAGCCTCTAGGATCATTGTTATAATCCAGTATATTACTAATATTCATAACTTCACATGCAAAAAACATGTATCCATGTGAACAGCATAAACAGAACCAGCAAGGCATAAGCTTTCAATAAACCCCTCACTTGGCCCACTTTTTGTAGAATTTGGGGCATGCACACAACAGTGGATTCAACAATGTTCAGCATGTTCATATTCAAATTCAATAATGTCACAAAATGGGCTAATTTGTGTAATCATTTGCATATAAGCATATCCTCTGGGTTATGGTCTATATACCCTTCCCCAAACAGTGGGCAGGATAGGACCAGGTGGAAGTGTCCATACTTGATGGCGGGGTAGATGGGAAGGTGATAGGGTATCTATGGGGAAGGCTGATGACTGGGAGATAGCTGTGAGGGTGAAGTTAGGAAGGAAAGCTGTGAGTGGTCATGGCTGGGGAATGGTACACCTGGGCTAGCCAAGTGGCTTGAAGTGCTGGATGAGTGGGCTGCAGTAAGTAAGCATGCTGAAGTGCCTGTAATAGTTGACGAAGCTAGAGGTGTGCTTACTTGATGCCTAAGGCTGTAAGGTGATTGTTTGAGCATAGGTGGCTACTGGACTAGTCAGGTGAGCACTGGGGTGCCTGGGGAGCAATGAGGGGGTGCTGGTTGGCTGCTAGGTAGTACTGAACATGTTTGTTGGGTCTACTGTGAGAGAAATGGATATTGAAGTTCCTAGACTACAGGGATGAATGGAGGTTTGTGATGGCACAGTGCAGCCCAATTGGTAGTAGTGGGGTAAGCAACCTTGAGGAGACCACTGTGTCCCTCATCTTTTGCTGCTGATGCCATTTTGTCCATTGGCTGGGATCCAGGAGGGGAAGCAGTGAGACAGGAGAAGGAGGTGCCAACTTGCTGTCTATTCACAAGGCCCCAGGTGGCTTCAAGGCACAACTATATCCAAATGCCTGGTGCCTTCACATAGCTCAGCAAGAGGCATGTGAATCTTGCTGGGCTGTGGGAATGTGTGATAGGGTAGCCAGATGAGTCCAAGACTCAGGCTAACTTCTGATTTAGATGAGCATTTCTCAACCTTTTTTTTTTTTTATAAAGTACCCCTTTTTTAAAAAAAAATTATAAGTACCCATAGTACCTACAGTTTTCAGACACAAATTTTTTTTCTACCATTGCAACACGTTTGTTTAAACTATTTAATTGTAGCCAGGTGGGTGATTAAATGTTTTTGTGTAAAAAGTACACAAATAATAAAATGCTGTAAAACTTGAAACAAAAATTCAGTTTTCTCCAAATTTCAGTTGTGTTGACATACCCCCAGACTTCTCTAGAGTAACCCTAAGGGTATTTGTACCACTGGTTGAGAAACACTGATTTAGACTACATTCCCATGCAAGGGAGTGTGGCAGTCATCACTTTTATAATGCTATGACAAATCTTGTACAAAATATACCTTGTGAAAAGTCATAATCTGCTGAACATTATTGTCCCATTAAAATATGTGGAGCAATACTATAGGTGAAGACATAAAATTGAATGATTGTTACTGAAATATGTTGTATTTCTGGGTAACACCCAGAAACTAGATTTTCAGAGACAAACATATATTAGTCTCAGCTGGGTATTAAAGGGCTATCAACTGCTTAAGTGGTCATTCTCTAGCAGCAGAAATTTACATTTCATCACAGAGGTGGTTCATCCACAAGAGACTGTGTGTTGCCTGCACCTTAACTGGAGGTAATCCTGCTAGAAGGGAGAGTGTTCTAACAATGAGAGACAGTGGCCTTTACCCCACCTCTCCTCCTCCTATCTCTCTGCTCATGACACCAATACTTGGAAGATGCTGAACTAAGGGGGAGAGCTTCCAAGACTAATGGAAATCCAGCCCATGAAATTTACTATAGCCGCAAAGCGTTTGGTGAGGAAAACTTTCACTTTAAATTCTGTTAGTTTGTTAAGTTAGCCATTGGCTTTTATTATTATATTATTAATTCTCTTTGCTCCTGATGGAGCATAAGGTGCCAACGAATCTTCTCCAGCCTTCACAGTCCTGAGAAAGCCGGCTGACTTCTTCCCAGGTCGTGCCCTTCCTTTTCATGTCCTCCTCCACAGTCCTCCTCCAGGTGCCCAACAGCCTCCCTCTTTCACGCTTTCCAGGTGGAATCCATCTGAGTGCCACATGAGGGAGTATTGTTTCGTTCATCTGAAGGACATGCCCCAGCCATCTCCAGCATCTCTGCTTGATCTCGTCCACAACATTGTTGATGCCAGTGTGTTGGCTTATCTCCTTGTTGGTAACATGCTGTTCCCAGCGGACTCTGAGGATACAATGAAGGCACCGTCCTTCAAAGCCTCTGAGTCTGCTCTCAATCTTCTTGTTAGTCCTCCAAGTCTCTACAGCATACAGCAGGACTGAGTGCACATTCGACCTATAGATCTTCAGTTTAGTCCTGTTCTGCAACAGTGACCACTTCCAAATGTTAAGCATTTGGAAGGCTTGCGCTGCCAGGGCAATTCTAGCGGAGATCTTTTTGTTGATGTTGCTGTCCGCCGAGATGTAACTGCAGAGATACCAGAAGTCATTTACTTCCTCTAACTCTTCACCCGGGACGATGGTTTTATCGGTGTTAGTTGTCCTCAGTTTCATCACTTTGGACTTGCCAGGGTGAATTCTGAGCCCAATGCTTCTGGCTGTTCAGTCAACAATGTCGGTCTTTTCTTGGATGTCCTGCTGATCATGCGCGAGAAGCGCCAGGTCATCTGCGAAGTCACAGTCCTCAAGCCGAGCAGTCAGTCCCCATAGCACTCCCCTTGATCTGCCCTCAGTGGCTCTGCGCATCACCCAGTCGATGACCACAAGGAAGATAACAGGTGAGATTACACAGCCCTGTCTGACCCCTGTCTTCACGTGAAACCAGTCACTCTGCTGTCCTTCATGTCGCACACAGCATTGATTCTCAGCGTACAGGTCCTTGAGGATCTTAATGACCTTCTCAGGGAACCCGTATGCTTGTAGAATCCTCCAGAGTGAGGGGTGGCGGATGCTATCAAATGCCTTTTCAAAATCGATGAAGTTAATGTAGAGCAAAGAGTTCCACTCTATTGACTGCTCCACTATGGTGCATAGGACGAAGATCTGGTCTGTGCATGACCTTCCACTTCTGAAGCCAGACTGTTCTTCCCTGAGGATTTTCTCAGTGACCTTTCGCATTCTCTGTAGCAGGACTCTGCAGAAAATCTTTCCCGGCATAGACAGCAATTAATGCCTCTCCAATTCCCACAGATGGACAGATCGCCTTTTTTGGGTAACTTCACAATGATGCCCTTCTTCCAGGCCTCCGGTACCCTCTCTTCTTCCCCGAGCCTGTTGAAGAGACCCTTCAGAGCTT